AAAAAAAAAAAAAAAAAAAAAAAAAAAAAAGGTCCTCACTTTTTTGGCGAAATTCCCTAGCAAATTTAAAGAATTCTTTGAAAATTTTGAAGGGGTAACACTTCGTCAGGGGGGGGTAATCGGACCCCTCGGACCCCTGCTGAGGACGTATGAAATAGCGTCTATGACTCATTTCTCTCATGTTTTATGCTTTTAAGAAAAACTCAGTCTGTAAAACGAAGTTTTTAATTCATTCCATTTAAGAATTCAGGTGCAATGTGACAGGTGATTATAGTTAAAAAAAATGTTATTGACGATTAAAAGACTTATCAAAAAAAGTCGTGACTATTTCGGGTAAAAACGAGCGCCAGAACGCTTTAATAGATTATACGTGAACAAGAATAGCAAACATTGCCGGCACATGTACGTCAAACTATTTTTTACTATATATGTTTCTATAACTTCATTAATGTTGAACATTTGCATTTTAAACAAGGTCAAACATTCTATTTGCACTTATATTGTGCTACCAACACTTGTGGAGGCAAGTGGAAAATGTTTTACGGTTAACTGAATTAATTATTGATGGGAAAGTGATTGTTTTGCATGGAAGTTGTCGATTGTGTAATGTGATGCATGTTTTGTTTTTTTGTTTTGACTATAGAACATATGCACATTTCAATTAAATGAGCTCACAAACCGCGTTGAACATACAATACACGCCTCGCAATTGCATTAACCATAATGAATTTGAATCTAATGGAAATGCGCCGATGAAATGAAGTCATCATAAAAAGACAATTATTTTTTTTTTTTTGTAACTGTGAATCGAGTACACTTTTGTTGTTTTTGTGTTGTATTTGATATGTTAACATTAAAAATAAAATTTAATAATAATCGTATGATACGAACTGATATAGATTTATTAACGCAAATATTCGAAAGTTTTTTACTAGTTTAATTTGGGCGCTTTTGACGGCATTCTTTATCAATGTTCATTCATCCATAATGATTATAAAGCCGAAAAAAATATTTTTGCAAAGTTATCAAAGTTATTCAACCTGTTGAATCGGTGACTGCTTGTCGCGTCATTCAAAGCAGATACTATTTGGCTTAGAATAGTTTTTGTAAATTGTCTGCCATGCATGATAAATAATGTGCTCTAGCAACCGCACGGCTTCTGATAAGTAGAACTGAACTTTGCTTCTGTTTAAGATAAATCATTCTTTTGCGCTATGGAAACTGAATAAAAATGTGAGAACTTTCGTAACTTACGTAATTCCAAGCATAAATATAATAAATGGAGAGTTTGCATTTCACTCAGAACTTGTGATATAGAATTGAGCGTTTATACTCCAACACATATGCATTTTTTATTGATTTTTATTTCCGACCAATTGTAACCTTAAATACGCTACAAAAAGTAAACAAGTATATTCGATAAAATATGCATAAGATTTAAATCCCATGCGGCGTTTTCGGTGTGAAATTAAATTGTGCGAACAAAAACTGGCAATCATTTATTTTATGTATACAATCGGCTGGGATTTTTTGTTAACTTATTCATAGCAACGGCGCCACAAATAATTAATTCCCTTTCAATTTAATATTCTTCCGAAAAAAACTTCACTTACACTTTGCGAACAAAACACACAGTAGCAACTAGATTGTGTAAAGCGTGCACATTTGTTAGAATGGCGACACAGACTGAGCTCTGTTCCGAAGTAAATTACTGCCCGAACACAAAGAATGAACGAAAAATGACGAAAAAACAAATCACGGCAAAAACTGTCGATACTCAACAAATGATATGCTAAACAACGCTAGAAAAAATTATAAATACACCAAACGAACCAAAGTTGAAACAAGAACGAATTTTTAAATACTTTCTTTCACTATCTATACATCGCGACTCAGTGATATAGTGTTTGATTTTACAGTTAATTTTGTCAACAGTGACGGCACACAACAATTCATTTATGACTCCAATTGAATTGTGACTGTAAATCGGAATTCACTCTATCAATTGAACTGCGTTACAATACACACGGTAAGTGTACACATTTGATGAGTACATTTTAAAAATATAACAATAAATCGTATCGATCGAATACGATTAAAAACCAACTATGAAGATGTTTCTTTTATTGATAAATACTCAATATTTCACTCAAAAAGTTTCTTCTATGTGATTGGATCAGAACCAAAATTTGTATTTTGAACATATGATATATTGGATATACGATATTGTTTGAATACTTAGAATGCAAATTGACAATTCGAAACGTCATTAAACCAGCTGTCAAATTCAACCGGTTTAGAATAGCCTTACCATTTTTATTGATTTCAACCAACAGATATATTGAATTTAATATAAATGACAATGTGAATAAACAGAACTTCTTATTCTGATGTAAAAAAAACGAACAATTTTGAAATGATTATATTGATAAACAAAATCATAAATTAAATTGAACGGTTTTTATTGCCTTTTCAGCGTCTTTAAATGAAAAGTAAACATTGGGACTGTAAATAAAGTGACAGAGAGAGAGAGAGGGAGAGAAAGAGAAAGACTTTGCGTGAGCACCGCACATCAATAAAATCGTACTTAATTGAATTGTTGATTAAGATTGACTTTTGAATTAATCGAATCGTCTTACCCAGAAAATAAATGCAAAAGAGGTTCTAGTTGGTTATTTTTAGAAAAAAATGTTTATTTCATTGAAAAAACATTGGTTTAAATACACAGTCAATATGCAGAATTCTCTTATGATTATCCATCGAGTTCTTTTTGCGCTTTTTGCCATTTATTTATCCATGTTTCGAGATTACCTAAGGGGAGAATCACAAAAGAAAAGAATAAAATTTAAAATAATCGATTAAGTAATAAGAGATTACCAGATCGCCATGGTTCCAATTTTTTCGATTTTTTCTTCTTTTTCAATTTTTTCTTGTCATCGGTTTCGGAATTTTCATCTGGTGAAGCCGGTTGATCCGGATTTGGTGACGATTTATCACAGGAATTTTCATCGTTCGTCGTAACGGGATCCAATTTTGCGATGTCCGAATAAAATGACGCCAACTCATCGTCCAGTGGCTTTTCCTATCAAAAAAATGTGACCGATTTTAATGTGATTAAGATTGCAAAAAGGTGCCTAGTCATTACGTTATTATCTTTGATCGCATCGCCAGTTGCCCACGTTGGTGGTGGAGGAGCCTGATTGAATTCTGTAAAGAGTGTATTGCAAGTGAAAAGTTGTTTTCTTTATGTGTATACGTATTACAAAAGTTATATACCTGTTGTTTGATAGTAAGCAGTAGATGGGTCCTCATTCTCATTGGGTGGTGGTGTCGTGCACGGAGATATGTCCATTGCATCGTCATCAATAACAGTATTCTCTTGTGAAATTTCCTCTTTCAATTCATCTTCCGGATACTCCCACTTGATATCACCGGTTGTCGTATTTTCGTAGCAATACAGCGCCTTTTCCCTAAAATTATACCACACAAACAAACCGTTCAGAAACTTTTCTTCACAATTTTGTATTTCAATTCATAGATTTCTTTTTTGTTTAAATGGTTTGCGGACAGTCTTAGAATTAATTCAGAGACAAAAAAAATGCTGGTGCATATTCGAATGCAAGTGAAGCATACACACACAATATTTTTGTTCTTCAAAACTTTGAAAGGGAAATCGCACTCTCGACCTGAATTGATGATTCGATATAGCCAAAAAATCAAAGTGTTATTAGTTCCATTTAAAAAGTGATAATCAATAAGAAAAAAAACAAACTTTTACTTAAAATAGTTACCTCAACGAAGATCATTTTTGTTTGTTTGTTTTTCATTTGTTTTCGATTCAAATAGATGAAAATTAGCAAAATTCTTACAATCATTGAACATGTATATAGTGTATCCGCTCTCCAAGTATGTGTCATCATTTTTATTATTCATGTCGTTTATACTGAAAATAGTACTATAAAAAACAAAACAATGCCAGTTCCGGAAAAATGTCAACAACTGCCTTATCAAAGCCGATAAATTAAAAATTAAAAACAAAAAAAAAAACACAAAAGAAGTAAAAATACAGTAGACATCTGGTCGGGGATTAGATTGTTTGCGTTTCACGATGATAAAACTTCATTTATTTTTATATGATTGTTGAATACAATAGAATTATTGTGATTTCAACGAGATGATTTGTTTTACACACACCATTTCACCAAATGACGTGAAGATCTTCACTGCTTACGAAATAAGATTCTTTTTTTTAAATATAAATGACTAGCTCAACGACAACATAATTCTAAATTGTCGATGCAGATAAGATATGAAATACAATTGAAAGTTGTTATTGCTCTGTGATACACAGAATGTACTTGAAATCAATGTGATTTTTGATATTTATAGCATGACGAACGAATTTTATAATTGATCGCAAGTAGATAACCCTGAAATGATGCAATAACGATGATTGTTTACGTACCGATTCCACAAGCATTTCCAACCATTTGGCGCCGCATCACTTTCCAGTTTAATCAAATCGTTTGAGATATTTTTCATCCATTCCAGCAAGTAGTCTGAATGTAATGCCTCCGCAACATATGCCGCTTGTAAGGCCTAATGATAAATACATCGATTCAATTAATATAATGGTATATGTTTTGCCGAGAAACGACCTGACTTACTTGCAATTGAATTTGAATAATTTGAACCGGTGACACATCAACCCTGCCTTGACATAAAAAGTTCAATTTTGCTGCCAAAAGTTGTTGTTCATCCTTTAATTCGTCGTTTGCACTATCTTTTTTGTCATCGGACTCTTCGGATCCATTTGACGTTTGTTTTTCCATAAATTCGGTTTCACCTTTTTGAAAATTACAGTATTTATTCTTCAAATCGGCAATCGGATTGGTTACATCTTTCGCCGGTTCTGTGTTTATTTCTTCACTTATATTTGCACGTTTAACTTGCGTCCTACTGGCGCTAAATTCAATCCTTCGTTTTCGTTGAAATGTTTTCTGCGGAACAATCTCTGTCTCATCTGATTTCTCATCAACTTGATCAGAAGTTTCTTCCGGTTCATCTTGTCCAGTGTAAAGTTTTATATCAACTGTTTCGTGCTGCGGACTTCGGCCACCTGTTATAATGCTTGCAAATGACGGTTTCTCTTTATGCACTTCGGTTTTCTTTGGTGATTTGGGGAGTTGAGAGTCTGATTGAAGTTTGTCAGTGCTCTGTTCGTTTGGTATTTCGATGGATTTTATTAATTGACTTTTTGCTGGGTAACTATTATTGGATGATGGAAACAATGGCTTTTCGGATGGCGTCGAAGTTTCATCATCTGAATCGTCATCACTGTTGTATTCAGGCACCAGATTCAATTTAGTTGTGGCTGTGGCTCGAGATGACTGAAAGGCAGAATGTTTTTTCTCTTCATTAATTTGCAGTTTTCAAATATATATATATATGTAAATGGGAAAATATCTTCCACATTTTGGAAAATGCAAGAAATAAATCAGACGTTCGCGAATCTCAATAATGATTAAACAAAAGAGACTCTAGCCAACAATTTCATCATAAACACCAACATCAACACCTGCTCGAAATGAACAAAGTGCGAGGCCTCAGATTGAAAACTATTTAAAAACATCACTATTATCAAACTGACAAACAAAAGTATTACTACTTTTGTTCTCAGTCTGAGCAGTATCAGATTAATTATATCCTCATAGGCCAATTCCATTCAAAATAAATTCCCAAATATTTTTCACTTACACTTTCGCCAATCTTATTTTGACCCCAATTAACTGTATCACTATTGTTTGTTTCAACAAAATCAGCCGGCTTCTCCCATGATATTTCTCTTGTGATTTCGTTAAAATAATATGGCGCATTATCATCGGTATAGCAAAGAATCCATTTTTTTAAAGATTGTGTATTTTTTAGCACAGCCTGTTCCAAAAATTGCTGATATTCAGCGGGAATTTCCCAGGTCACTTTTTTTGTAACGATATTCCAATAGTACGGATGACCAGAGCTTGCATCTGTGCATTGTGTCCAATCTAAAAATTTGCTCAAAGAAAAACCAACAAAATTCGAATCATATATTTTACACGTCATTCTAAATTATTACCCGTGGTAATATTTTTTGTGGCCTTTTTACGCTCTGAATCGTCATTATCGCTGTCCGATTGGTAGTCTCCTACTAAATGGGCTAATTTATCTATAATTGAATAGCATACAAATGACAAATGTTAGTGATGATACAAAGAATTCTTTTTTGAATTTCCCGTTATGCATTGCAATACAATTCAAAATACTCACTGGACGCCATTACAAAAAGAAATTCTATATTAATTTATAGCAATATACAAAACATTTTATAAAAAATTGAACGAGAAAAGCATCGACAAATTTTTTTGATGCGAAAAGCGTGTGTTTTGTAAAAGACACTTTTTTTTCTATTGTCAAGCTGTCTGTCAGTGTGCAAAAAAAGAACCGGAGGCTATTTAGTACTGACTATTGTTGTCATTAGTATTATCGTTTAATTTAGTACATCGTTTGCATTTAGTAATGTCAAATAAGACCACTTCGTGACAGCATCAATTCAATAAGTTCCATTATCTCAGTATCCATCATTTTTCATTTTAATTTGCTTGATTCATTCGATTTCCATCAGCAATTCCATCGAATTTTTTACAAGAGAATTGAAATTAAACGAATAATTCGGTTGAATTTTACATCTTTTTTTTTGAAAACCACATAGAAAACTTGTTAGTAATGAGTGATTTATCGATTGCGGTCATTTGTTCGTCGAACATGAATCGTTCGATGGAAGCCCATGGATTTCTAGCGAAAAAAGGATACAAAGTACGATCTTTTGGAACGGGAGAGAAAGTAAAACTACCAGGAACTGCACTGGACAAACCGAATGTTTACGAATTTGGTTCATTTACTTATGACGAAATCTACAATGATCTCGCCAACAAAGACAAACAATAGTAATTGGATTCCGGTTAATTTCGATTGGAATTTCAATTAAATTGCATTCATTTTCATTTGCAGTTACACACAAAATGGTCTTCTGCACATGTTGGACAGAAACCGAAGGATAAAGAAATGTCCAGAGAAATTTCAACATTGCACTGAACAATTTGACCTAATAATTACAGCAGAGGAAAGAGTTTACGATCAGGTGAGTTTCGTGACAAGTGCCAATACAGAGAATTATTGAATTTTTTTATTGAATTTTTAAAAGGTTGTTGAATATATGGAATCGAAACCACCATCAGATAATAAGACAGTACACATCATAAACATTGACATACAGGATAATCACGAAGAAGCAACGTTGGGTGCATTTTTGATTTGTGACTTGGTTGCGATGGTTCGTAAATGAGACTTCAATACAACTTGATTTTTATCAATTGTTGTCAAATGTTTTTTTTTACAGTTAACCGCTACCGATGACTTGGATAATGATATTGACGAATTATTACATGAATTTGAAGCAAGTAGCCAAAGGTCACTACTACATTGTGTCCTATTCTACTGAATCAAAGACAGAGAAATAAACTGACTAACTTTACCTATTGAACACCAATTATTTTCATTAAATTGAGTCAATTGAGACTGCTGACACATTATTTAAAAAAACGAGAGTTTATTTTATTGAATTTAAATTACATAGAAAATCAGAATGTTCATTTAATGTTGGTCTAAGTGGGCGAATCTTTTTCGCAATTTTTCTCGTTTTTCTTTTTTCTGGTGTCGCCATGGTTTTTCAGCCATATGAATATTGTTTAGACTTTGAACGGATCCACTTGTTGTTGATACGATTTCATTCTCTTTTACCAATCCACGAACATGTTGCAAATTTGTTTTTCCTTTTATGTATGCAACGCGAGAAGTATCCTCAAAGAATGCGCCATCGATATCTTTGGTCGTTTTCGAATGGTCAATCTGGAATGAAAATCAAAATTTAAAAACATAGGTAAAAATGTGTAAGGATGCTGTCTACATCTATTTGTGAGGATGCTGGCTACTTACGCGCAATGCACGTCGTTGTTGATCTGGCATTGTTTTTTCGCATAGTTCACGGCGCATTCGTGGTGCATATGTGTGGAATTCTTCTTGTTTATATCCAGGTGGAGCATGACAATATAACAATCGACCATTTACATAATCTTTGAGCACATACCGAGCTGTTCTTGATTGATCCGGTTGTCCTCTCGCGGTCATAAATCCCCGATTATCTATATTTCGATAAAAAAGAATTTTGATTGTACAACAAATACTTAATAAGAAAGAAAAAAAAACATTTTCAACGTACATCCATAGGCGAGCAGCAATTCCTCAGAATACGGTGCTCTATTTGGATCTTCCCCTTCCTGTGGTTTGGCAATCATAATACCGTATTTATCTTCGAGCGTATGACGTGGAATTTGTGTTAAAAGCATATTAACAGCCGGTACATGATCTCGCATTTGATCGATGGGAAGAATTCCGTTTAAAATCATATCGGCTTTGGTTAGCACAAAGCTTGGCATTACCAAACCGGGACAATCACACAATAAAATATCTTGATCCAAGTAAAGAGTTTGAAAATGTTTTGTCTTGCCCGGTGTTGCTGATACCGAGACCTTCTTTTCAATCATAATCGAATTAATTGTGCTACTTTTTCCCACATTTGGATAACCAACTAAACCAATGGTTGATAAATTTTCGGTCACTTTTGTTCCATTATGCATTTTACGGAATAATTCAATTAATTCAATACGTGACAAAATCTTTGGATTATTCAGTTGGTGAACACTCAATTTTTTCTCAATTATTTCAAGTTGTTCTTCGGCTTGATTCACAGTTTTGGCAATTTCATTGGTAGCCTCTTTAATGCTTTCAACAGAAATATCCTTTTTGTGTGTACTATTCTCGGAATCATCATCATCATCTTCCTCTTCACTCTTTGCTGCTGATTTACCTGCAGCTTCTTCTGAAATTGCCTGCAAAGACTTTGTATTTTCCTCCGTGGCTAGTGTGGCCGAATAGAATGCAACGCGAACATTTTCCTTATCAAAATAACTGGCCCAAATGGCTCGCTGTTCATCGGTCAAAAAGTCGGCTTTGTTGATTAGAATCATATTCATTTTATCTTGGCTAACTTCTTTTACATACTTTTCAAGATCTTCACTTCGAAATAATAATGGATTTCTGGCATCAACAATCTGAACAATGACGTCACTGCGTTCAACGAAATTTTTCATTTAATTCTTAACCTGGGATTGTTGTTAATTTCAAAATCTTACCTTTTTTCAACAACACGCCACAATTGACGCCAAAACTCTAAGTTTCGTTCGTATGGTGTCATCAATAGGCCATCATCTTCTTGGAGCAGGGCCAATCCACGTCGCCATTCCAAAAAACTTTGATTCTCTTGTGCATGTAAATCTTCGACTGTTGTTTCCGCCGTCCAAACGGGTCTACGTGGAATTTTCAGTAAATCTTTTTTGTCAACGTGCTTCTTTTCAGTTTCTGCTCGTTCGGTTTTTGACAGCAGTCCAGCGTTACATTTTGAATTCACAAATTGAATGTTCAATTTTTCGGCTTGAAATTCAGTCCCCGCTAGCTCGGCGGTACGTAAAAATTCTTGAAACGATGACTCCTCCGTTACTGATTGCAAATTCAAACGTCCCCAATCATATCCATCTTGAAGTTCTGTGGTGTGCAACTGTTGATAATGTTGTGAATGTGACACAGTCAATACAAACAAAGGAATTTCATCATAACATGCAATGTGGAAAACCCCTTACCATTGAATTATTGTCGACCGTTCGACGATGACCCTGACCGAAACGATCACGTATCAATGATCTACCCAAATTATTCGCTTTCGATTTCTTACCCATCATTTATCGCGTGAAAAAATAAAAAACAAATAAAATGATGTTCGACGGGAAAAATGGACCCACACGTGCAAGAAATGTGTGTCTAGTAAAGTTTGTTTGAAGTGTCACTTCTTTGCAACTGTCAAAATCAATGTTGCCAGAATGTTATTGTTATTTGACAAAATCCGACTTTTGACAATTTAGTTGATGCTTTCAAACTTGAAATTGATTTTGGACTCATTTAATTGAAATATATTTTTAAAAAACACTGCAGTGTATAAAAAATGAAAAGAAAAATCCAATTTATACATTTAATGTTGTATGAAGTATTCTATTTGGTCATTGGTAATTTGTTTATTTACACTATGAACGAAACATTATGCATTATACATAGAAATAAGCCTACGATAATAATTGTATTGTAAGTCGTAGCCAATGTTGTGGCAATATATATATGATTATTATATATTTGTTCATGATGATCACCTATTCGGCGGTTGAATTGTCATTTATGGACGTTGTGGCTTGTGACAGTCTCATTTTCTTTTTGGCTTGTAAATCGGCCTGCACATCTTCAATGGTACGCATATCTCGTTTGTTTTCACTTGGAACTGAAATTAAATCAATTACCACATTACTCGGAAATGTCTTTGTTAAAATGGCCATAAAAAATATGACTTGTATCTTACCAAATCCATAACTTTTGTTTGTTTCGGTTTTCTTGGCTGCTTTAACAGCAGCTTCTTGTCCAATTAAATGAGCGTATTTATCTTTATAATTTGAGTTTGGTTTCACCTCTGTCGATTTGGTTTCGCGAAATTGTTCCATTTCTTTTTCTTCCAGCCGCTACAAAAAGAGGAAAAAATCAATTAAAAAAATGCCCAAGATTTTTTCATGAACAAATTACCTTTTGAGCATATTTCTGTGCAGTATCTTTGTTCCATTCCTCGCCATTTCGTCGGGCGCTAATTTCATCTTCAGACGGTGGAAGATCCTTCTTGTAAACGACAATGTATCTATCGACGTCTTCGATGCCAAAACTCATTGCTGTCAGACCGGCTATTTGAGATACGTCATGCCTGCAAACATTTAATCATTTATCTATCATTATTTATCCATCGAAATCTATTAATTGATTACATACACAATCGATCGATAGAATCTATTAAGTGGCTGAAATTGCAGAAACTTTCGATTTTCATCTTTGATAAATCGATTCACTCGCTCCTCACAATACGCACGAAATTTGGCCATTTCCCGTTTTTCATACTCTTGTTGCTTTTCCACTTGTTCTTTTTGCTCTGTAAATACGGTAGCACATCAATTTTAAAATTCAATAAATTCCACATAATCAACTACATACTTTTCATTTGTTCTTTTCGCTTTTCGTCGATCTCCGGAGGCTTATCCATCGAATTTAGAATCGAACCAAGCAAATCCATTGTCGTTTATAATATTGTCTGTAGAAGAAAAAAATGCACTTTGGATATAGATTACACTAAAATTTCCTGGATATTATTGATACTTACACTTAATTTGTGACAAATGTGATGAAAAATATTTGCGTATTGAAATATGATATTTTTAGATTGTTCCGTCAAAGTGGCGAAATTGAATGGATCAAACAAAAGAAAAAGACTACTTTCTGATGAGCTTGAAGCATTTTTATCCTTTATGTGAAACTAACAATAATAAAAGTACACTTTTGACATTTAATGTCTTCAAACATTGAGGTTGGTACTAAATAAATTCATTTGCAGTCAGATTTCAATCATTCGATTGCATTTGAAAATTAAAAATTTTTCTCAATAATTTGTTGACATTATCTCATCACATTATGCGACAAACAGTCGAATGTATGCATAAAACGGCATTTTTACATCGTAATTTGTTGGTTCACATTTTTTAGAACTCATTTGCAACTGTCACTGCTAATGGCTTTGTTTGCTTATGTTTAACTGTCAAAACATATTGTGAATCTTGTCGTCAACAATTTTGAATAGGCATCATTTGTAATGAAATTGTGAATAATTGTTTTTTCCATCGAATTTATTTAAATTTTTGTCCAAATAAATTTTAAATTCCTGTGTTTTGTCTTGATAAATATTAAAATAAGCAATGGCAGAGATTGATTTGCCAGACTCGATGAACGAGTTAACTAAAATATGTCGCATTTGTTTAAACACATCTGATACTGAGTATTATTCGATGCAAGATTTCGGTAAAATTTGCAATAAATCCGTTAAAATTTCGGAATTGCTCACCGAGTGCACGTCAATCGAGGTGAATATATAATAATATAATCAAACGGATTTTTTATTTTTAAATTAATTTAATTATCTTTCAGTTTAACGAAGACACCACTTTACCACTATCAGTATGTTCCGAATGTTTGCTGCAAACATGTAAAATCTACAAATTCCGTCAAATGGCATTCAAATCAAATCTCCTGCTACGGCAAAAGATGCAAAAAGTACAAGAAAAAGCGGAAAAATTGTGTGCATCGCCGAAGGTAGAATCGTTGACATCACATCATGTCGAAACGCTGGCTGCCAAAGATGAAAGTGAAATGGTTGATCTGATACAACAAAGCGAAGATGAAGTCGAATATGTCACGGTGATTTTAGATAATGAAGAATCGGAAAGTATCGAAGAAACATTAATGGACGATTCAATTGAAGAAATCGAGGGTGATGAATATATTGTTGAAGAAGAATCACTCGATGAAATTCCAAAAATGTCACTGAAGAAACATCGTAGCCGTCGACGAGATAAAGATGGCAAACACCGATCACTCACATGCAATGTATGTAATAAAACGCTAAGCAATTATTCTTCGTACAAATATCATATGCAATTACATTCCGAAGTAACGCCGTTCCTGTGCAGCGAATGCGGCGAAGGTATGTCAATTTAAAATTCAGTGCAATTGGGCGCATAGCTTTGATTTGTTCTTTTCTCTTTGTATTGATCCCCGGCGTAGGATTCAAAACTAGAAATGCTTACGACGGACATTTGGTTACCCACATGGAATCTAATCCAAATAAATGCAATGAATGTGGCAAAACTTATCGACAAGCCGCTAGCTTACGAAGCCACCTGTTGACTCATTCAGGTGAAAAAGTATGTCATCACATTTTTATCTTTAAACTATTTCGCTTTCAACAGCAAGAATGTGTAAAATGTAATTTGCATTGTATTTTCCAGCCATTTAAGTGCGAAATTTGCGGGAAAGGAATGACACAAAAAAGTGGTTATAAAAAACACTTGGTAACTTTTTATCATAATATATCATTGGTTTTAGATTTCGGTTGAATTGAATTTTTAAGTGGCATATTTAAAACAAATTGATAATTTTTTTAAAGCTTACACACACAGGTGAATTGCCATATTCATGTGATATTTGCGGTAGAGGTTTTCGTTATTCGAGCAATTTGATTATGCATAAACGCAGCCATATTGGTCGTAAGGACTTTGAATGCACGGTAAGTTATGGTTAAAAGGACAGATATAATTGAAACTGAATTGATGTCAGAAACTTAATTTTTCATCGGACTCGTTTTCGAGTACTAAAACGATGATTCAATTTTAATGAATCTATGCTCTTAATTTACTCTCTTTATTCTTTTATTTCTTCTCTTATTTACCAAACTATTTCTGTTTTCTGATATACTTTTTAGGAGTGTAAGAAAAAGTTCATCAGTAAAGAGCAATTAAAGCGACACGTGGCCATCCACACAGGCCAGAGGCCGTTCAAGTGTTCAGCTTGTGATAAATGTTTCAATCGACGAAGCACATTAACGGTAACATATTCCAAATTCCATGTGCATTCTTTCTTATCGTTTTCTGAATAAATATCATGGTGAACATTTCATTTCTATCTTAGATTCATCAAAAAATTCATAAAAAATTCAAATGTAATTCCTGCACCGAACACTTCGACACTAAAATCGCTTTATCAGCACACGAAAAATCGCATACCGAAGAAAATTCATCCAACGACAATCAATCAAGATAAAGCTGTATCAATTCATATAATGGCGGCCGTCCGAAAAACTTTTGAAATGTTTTAAGTTTCAGTATATACTTTATATTGAAATTTGTTTTCTATTACATAATTTATATTAATTTTCCACCTTCAATTTCACAATCGCCGACCAAGCTGGTTCATGTTAAACATTAATCATCTACCAAACATGGAGTAAAATTTGATAAAATAACCCGATAAAATAATCAAACATTTATCCAGTAGGTTGATAACGATACAACAGTGAAATTGTGTACAGTATTGTTTTTTTTTTTAAATAAAAGCAACGCTCAATTTAAAATTCTACCTCTTATTTATTTCTCCAATTTATTATTGCGAAAAATAAATGTGTCGCGCTCGTATTAGTCATGATCACGCAGACCGAAAAATGGAAAAAACAAGATCAAATAGGAATGAAGTCATACATTCAAATGCGCATTATAAATTCACGAAAGCTACTTAAGCGATATGTTTTTCGAGGGAAAAAATTAACGAAGCTTCCTTTTCGATTTATTTTCTAAATCAACAAGAAAACATTTGTATTTGGCAGCAGATTGAATAATGACACAAAAAAATAAAGTATTATCAGCATGTAAAAGGTATTTGTATAACAAAATTATCATATGCGTCCGATTTTTGGTATTGACTAAGTTCGTAATGTAATTAATTCCAATATATATTAATAGATAATTTGAA